TCCACTAAGAAACATTGTTTGGGAGCCCGTAAATGTGTGCGAACCTACGCCACTAAAGCCTCACCTTCATGTTTTCGATGAGATGCGCAAATTGGGCATGACCGTCGTGGGCGAGGGCAAAAGTGTCCCTGGCCCGTCCCAAAAACTCGATAAAATCAGCATAGTGTCTGGGCGAAATGTGCGCCAACCGGGAATGAGTTGTGTTGATGTAGGCGTTGACTGCCGCCTCCAGTAAAGGACGCAGTGGCGGTCGGTCGAAGGACAGCGGCTTCGGCCCTACAAAGACACGTCCGATCGTCAACGCCGGTCCCACGCTATTGGAGAGCGATATCCCACCTGGAATGCATCTAGTCCGGGCTGAGGCATGTTTAGCATCTGGTTGGATGGGCGGCCCGGTGGGTCCTCCAGGGGCGGACGCTCCGCATCGTCGCAACACATCGCTTAAAACAGTGGCGCACTGCACGTTCTTGACCAGCAGGGGCACCATGTGCCCCAATTCCGTCTTTCCCAAGGAATGGGCCAGCGCCATCGCCCAGTGAATGTCGTTGATTGCTGGATGTGTATCCTACAGGAAACCCCATGGGTCGTTAGGGCGGCGATTGAAAATCGGTCGGGAAAAACCCGAGCTTTACCTGGTTGTAGGCCAGATGGACGTTCTTCATGGCAAGCATGGCCAGTTTATAGGCGCGGGCTGGATAGCCGCGATGCTCCATGTAGCGAGCGATTGTAAAGAGTTGCGACGACGTCATTATATGCGAAGCGGCCTCCACCACGATCTGGTACGCCGTCTCGAAGGCCAGCGCCTCGTTCTCGCACAGAGTCAGCGCGTTTAAGGCACAATTGGGCGGGTCCTGGAAGCAACCAAGTCAACTTTAGTACGAGAGCGTGGGGCAAAGTTGCGGCTTTACCTTAGTGGCGCATTGCAGGGCCAAAGTGCGAGCACACGAACTCAGCTCATCTTGCTGCTGGAACCCGAGCTGCAACCGAACCATGGTGCCCCTGGACATGATGGTGGTGGCGACGGGGCCGGCAGCCTCAGTGGCCGTGAAAAACTGAAACCAGTTTTGCATCAGAGACGTCAGCGCCTCCAGGCCCAGCTCAACGGCGCAGGTCACGAGCCACCGAACCATCTCTCTCCGTCTCCAATTGAGCGACGACAGCGTCATCCTCATTACCTAAACAGAGGGTCACGTCTTATGCCCGCTTTCCGAACTCCAACATATCGGTTACATAAGCTTGTGAGTCTCATAAACTACCAAAATCACGTCTGCTGGGTTTCTCAACGTCTGTTTAAAGCTTATTGGTTCCATAAGTTATCGAATAGATATCTACTCAAAGATGGATGGTTATCGGCTTCATAACGTCTGACGCAAGCGTGTAGGGTTTGTTTTGATTTTTACAACAGAGCGATTCTAACCTAACATAACCTATTCTTATTATATAACAGCATTGCATAACAGTTTTGTTTTGTTTAACGTATAAAAATTTACTATAATTATTTAAAATGGATAATTCGAGTTCATCTTCTGATGATGAAATTATTGTACTTCTAAGTTATATTGAACGGCCATGACGGCATCTTGAACGAGAGGACCAAATGAACAAATATGGAGATTCTGAATTTCGCGACAGCTTTCGTTTAACCAAACACTGTTTCAGTGTATTATTGGACCTATTGGGGACTATCTTAAAACATATACTGTGAGAAGGAATTGATTGTCCGTTAGTGAACAGTTATGCTGAATTCAGATAAAAACCAGAGAGCTTTTACATCAAATCTGTGGCGGTTTTTTGAAACATCTTCAAACCATATGTTTACCGACCGATAAAAATGCGTTTTTTTGTGGCGTCATCTAGCTTGCGATGCACAAAAGTGAAAGTTCGTTACTATCCGCTTCTGTTTTACCGGTATTTTGCACCTTCCGTACTACCAGTCAAAAATGGAACATACCCTATCAAGCAGTTCCCTCTGTCGGTCGAACTAAAAAGGTACTTATCCAACGGATTGTTATGAGCTCGATATGACTTTGTCTGTCACCGTTGGGAAACCCATAAAATTATCGGTCTTATAACTTTTGGCCGTATTTATAGACGCTTCTCAAGTGACACTGAACACTCAAGTGACTGTCATAATGAAAAATGCGTTTTATAGTCGTCACTTCGAGATCAGCTGACGTGTAAGGGCGACTTGGACTTGAGTGTGGAGTATAGGACCCTTGAGTGTGTTTTTCTAACCTAACCATTCTGGTACCACACCTTCTGTCATAGTTGAGCTGAGAATTACCATTTGTTATTCAAACGTTTTGTTAAATGTATTATTAATATGAACGATTCGGAAGAATGTATGCAATATGTTGTTTAAGAAAGGCCCGAGTGGGTTCCAAAGAATATATATATAATAAATACGAGATATACAAGATCCTTTCCAGTTCTACGGAGAGCAGGAATTTCTTCAGATATCGGTTTCGGAAGAAAAAATGTTATCGATGTATTTAACCTTTAGCTTTAAGTAGAATTGGAAGTGCATGAGGTTTACCTATTCCTGCTCATTTGCAACTTCAGCTAGCATTAAGCTTCTATAATATGCTACTGGCAGTTTCCAGGTAGGCCAAGTGATAAGTGCTTAATACAATTACGCTTACACGAAAACAACTCTCGTTATGTAATATACTATTATATTGTGATGAATGATTACAGAACTATGCGTCTTCTGTCTAGCTGAATATACGGTTTTCCTCTGGCGCTCCATTTGTTTACTCCT